TTCATCTTCATTTCTGTAGGGGTAACCACGCCGAGTTCCTATTTTACCTTAAAATTTTGTATGCATGTACGCACTTAGATATATATATATACACATGAGTTGGGGGGGCAGAGGGAGAGGGACAAGCAGAGTCTCCGCTGAGCAGGACCCTGGGATCATGACCTGAGCCAAAGGCAGACACTTAACCAGCTGAGCCACCCAGGGCAGTCACTTAACGACTGAGCCACCCAGGCGTCCCCATACTGAATATTTTGATACTCTCCTACAAACCTGTCCTTTCTCGGGGTTCTCTGTTTCCTTAAATGACACTACCATCCATCCTGTTGTCAGAGCCAAAAACCTTAACAATCATTACTACTCCTTTGTTTTGCTTTCTGTAAGCAATTAATCAGCAATTTATCTGGCTTTACCTCAAAATATACTCCAAACCCAGCCACTCCTTTCTGACTGTGCCTCCAACCATCATAGCCCAAACCACTTTGATCTCTTCTTCTACTTCTACCTAAGGTCTGTTCTTCCCAGGGCAGCCAGGGAGGTTATTTTATTTTTACTTACTTATTTTTTTAAAGATTTTTTATTTATTTATTCATGAGAGACAGAGAGAGAGAGAAAGGCAGAGGGAGAAGCAGGCTCCCAAGGAGCAGAGAGCCCGATGCGGGCCTGATCCCAGGACTCCGGGATCATGACCTGAGCCGAAGGCAGACGCTTGTCAACCATCTGAGCCACCCAGGCGCCCTCAGGGAGGTTCTTTTAAAGGGAGCTTGGCAGGGCCCTGCTCAGAAAACCCCTTTGGTGGAGTCCCAGAGTATCTAGAGAAAAACCCATCGTAAAGAGACCGACATAATCTGGCCCCTGTCTACTTTTTCGTCCTGTTTCCTTCCTTTTTTTTTTTTTTTTTTTAAGATTTTATTTATTTGAAAGTGAGAGAGAAGGAATAAGCAGGGGAAGGGGCAGAAGGAGAGACAGCAGCCTCCCCACTGAGCAGGGAGCCCGATGCAGGGACTCAATCCCAGGACCCTGAAATCATGACCAGAGCTGAAGGCAGACCCTTAACCAACTGAGCCACCCAGGCGCCCCTCCTGTTTCCTTCTGCTGTCCCCCTTGCTTTCACCACACTGACCTCAGGCAGGCCAAGCACAGGACCTTCGCTCCCCAGCCCACAGCTGGCTCTGGATATTCCCACCACTGGCTCCTTTACTTCATTCAACAGGTGCTTCAGTAGTGATTCCTAAGGGCTGAATCCAGTGGCCCTTTGCAGCTCTTCACCATTTGACGTTATCCGTTTTTCTCTATTGCTTTTGCTTTGGCTGATTACGAAAATGATAATAGAAGGGACAGAAGGGCATAAAAGAAAAGAAAGAATTCCTTCATCTTCATTTCTGTAGGGGTAACCACGCCGAGTTCCTATTTTACCTTAAAATTTTGTATGCATGTACGCACTTAGATATATATATATACACACACAAACAGGCTCATCTGCATCTATTCTACTGCTTGTTTTTTTCACTTATTGGTATATTTTAGGGCTTTTCCCACAAGTAGTACATTTGTCTACTTTTAACTAGCATATCATTTATTGCTGCGTAACAGACCACCCCCAAATGTAGCAGATTAAAGTGGTTGTATTTCTGCTGCCATCAAGGAACTGTTTCACTAGTAGCGGATATGAGATGTATACAAATATGTCTCATTCAGAATTAACTGTAGTAAATGACAGCATGCTCTAGGAATCCAGAGAAGGGGAAGATTCGCTAGAACAGGCTGCTTTGGATACCTGGTCTCTTGGCACTGGGGGCATTTATGCCGAGACCATTATCCTGCGTTAGGGACTCTTGAGAAGAAACTGCTGTCTGAAGTCAGGCGTGCCTTGACTGGATGACCAGCAAGCCTTCAACCATGGCAGTTGGTAGATATTCGGGGTTTGAAATCTGCCCCTATAATTTACGTGCTGCCAAGTAAGTAAGTAGCCTTTTAAAGTCTCTTGAGAGGTGGGGAAACCGACATCCCTCATGGGACTGTGCATGCTGCTAGAAGAACGTGTCAGAGGCCCTGCAGCAGGTGCATGGAGCCCTCAGTTTCTCAGGAGTGTTGCATGGTGCCTCCAGGCCAAGGAGTACCTACTGGGTCTGTTTATTAAGTAGTTAGGTTCAAGCTGCTTCCTGATTATTTAATCCACATAACTTAGTAGCTTTTTGAAAAAATGATATATAAAAATTGAAGGAAAATTAATACAGTTGGTTTCATTCTTTTTTTTTTTTTTTTTGACACAGAGAGAGAGAGTGAGCAGGGGGAGCAAGAGAGGGAGAAGCAGGCTCCCCGCTGAGCAGGGAGCCTGATGCGGGGCTTGATCCCAGGACCCTGGGATCGTGACCTGAGCCGAAGGCAGACGCTTAACCGACTGAGCCACCTAGGCACCCCAGTTGGTTTCATTCTTAAATAATCACACGTACGAATGGGGTTTGTGTGCCTGTTGTGTCAGATTAACCCTGACCCTCTCATTTCCTGTTCCATATTAAATTTTTCAAGGGATTTACTTAATGGCAACTGCTGAAAACCCAGTTTTGCAAAGATCTGACATCATCAAGAGGTGATTTAATATGGAAACCATGAATTGTCTCAGGCTAGAAGTTCCTGCAGTGATGGACAGGTGGCAAATATTATATTGCTCCCTCCGATGTAAATAGCCCTTGATGCCCTTGTGAGCTTAGTGCTTTGTTCTGGCATATTGGGGAATTTAGGATATAAGCAGCCCTCACTCACTACCTTATAGCTACTCTAGTTATTGTTACTGTGCTGTCATAGTGATTAATAATGTTAATTAAATTCTCTGATTCCAGGCTTGATAATTATGTAGTGATTTTTTTATGTTTCTGATATACTTAATAATGTTTACATTAAAGTATAACATGTTTGACTAGCTCAGTCTCTGATTAAAATCACTGAGTGTTGAATGTTTGTCATGTTTTCTGTTTTAGTACCTCACCAGCAACAAATGTGGCAAATATGTGGACATTGGAGTCTTAGCATCTGATTTGCAAAGAATGTACAGGTAAAGAGATGTAATCTCTAGATTCTTGCCTTTATTTTTAGTCTCCATCCTGCCCAGATTTCCAATGGGTATTAATCGCTGCTGACATTTATTCATTAGTGCATAAGTTTAGAATTCAGTTTACTGAAGACTTATCAATTACCTGTTATATGCAAGGCGCTGTCCTTGTTACTAAGGGGAATGGCTGCTTCCCTTTCAGTACCTTACAGTCTGATCAGGAGTATGGCCTCTTTTCCTGTCTCATTAAAGAATTAAAACCATGAGGCATGATCTCCCTGAGCTTCCTGGCTACCTCAAAATGTCTCCAGGCTTCCCCTTACAGATTTAGTTTTTCTCTTGTGCTCTAACACCACCTTTCCTAATACCTCAATCCATGAATTATCACCACTTTGTGTATTTCAGAGTCTCTGTTTTTTTCTTCGTATACTAGTTTGCTAGGACTGCCATAAAAAAGTACCAGAGGCGGGGGAGCTTAAACAACAGAAGTGTAAGGCTTCCCAGTTGTGGAGGCAGGAAGTCAGCGATCGATCAAGGCACTGGCAGGGTTGGTTTCTCCTGAGGTCTCTCCTTGGCTTGCGGGTGGCTCTCTTCTCCCTGTGTCCTCATGTGGTCTTTCCTCCATGCGTCTGTCTGTATCCTAATCTCTTATTTGTATTTTTTTAAGATTTTATTTTTAAGTAATCTCTGCACCCAGTGTGGGGCTCAAATTCACAACCCTGAAATGAGTCGCGTGCTCCACCAACTGAGCCATCCAGGCGCCCCTCTTACTCTTATAGAAGCACCAGTTGTATTGGATTACTTTGCTTCAGTGCTCTGTCCTGTGGGCCCACTAGGATGGCCACCCTGCCCTTTGGATCTGAGGAGGAGACAGTGCCACTCCCTGAACCTGGGCCCCCTGCGCCCAAGGTGGTGGCAGCAGCCCTCCCACCTCACTCATCCCTTTCCTTGAAGGGTCATGCCTGTCCACAGCTGATGGCCCATCCTGTAGAATCCCAGAACTCCAGCAGCATTCCTTCACTTCATCCTTCCTGTCTTTTCCAGTACAAGCTGCCAGTGTTTCTGATGCTGTAACCCCATCTCTAATCAAGAAAAATTTACGGGGTCCCTGGGTGGCTCAGTTGTTAAGCGTCTGCCTTCGGCTCGGGTCATGATCTCAGGGTCCTGGGATTGAGCCCCGCATCAGGCTCCCTGCTCTGCGGGGAGTCTGTTTCTCCTTCTCCCTCTGCCCCTTCCTCCCTGCTCATGCTCTCTCTCTGTCTCCTCTCTTTCTCAAATAAATAAATAAAATCTTTAAAAAAAAATTTACAATACTGAAAATGTAAACTCAGAAGTTGCTTGAAGATAAGTTTATGGTCAGGGTGAATACAGTGACATACTTATGTACTCGTGCAAATTAATGTGATCAATTTAGATTGAGTTTAATGGTAAAATGTTGGTGGAGACCACTGTACTAAGATTCTTGTTATGTTTTTCAGTGTAGACTATGGTCGAAGAAAAAGAAATGCTTTTAGGATTCAGGTAGAAAAAGGTGAGTCTTTTAGTGTTAGAGCTGAATTATTCATGAAGTTAAAGAGTTGTTTTAGCTCATGACATTTTTCTTTTTGTTTCAGTATTTAACATAATCAGTAGTGAGAAAGAACTTAAGGATCTAACAGAGTTAGAAGATGAACATCTGGCAAAAAGAGCAAGACAAGGTGAAGAGGATAATGAGTAAGGATTACAGAAAAGGGGGTGTTTTTCTTTTTTTTTTTT